AACTATGGAGTTTCTTGACTAAGTACAAGATGAACAAGTACGAATTCCATGGTTGCAAAATCGGCATTAAAGGGAGAAATGGAAAACCTATGAAAAAGCAGTGGGTCGTTGCCAGTAATATGCCCACTATTTCCGTTGTTGAGTACTTCAAGTGTGATGGTTCTCACGAGCATGATGAAAGCCGTGGTACGCATTTGAAGGAAGCCGAGGGATACACGTATGTTTACACCGATGCCGTTCACAATGCATTTTCTGAACATGCCACCATGCAGCCGTTGCTTTCGAGTGATTGTGCTGCATCTTCTTCGCAATGAGCAGCGCGACGGCTATGGCGCATCCCGCGAGGGATTGCGATCCGGCATGGAGGAGATGGATGGAGAATGTCGCTACCACTTCGGTATGCACGAACGGCAAATACGACGCTAACCTCGCCGCCACGGTCAAGGGCCTCCTCGAGACGACCTCTGCACAGTCGCTTATTCATACATGGGTGCAGGACCAACCGCACTACCTGCAATTGCTTACACCCCTGTTAACCATAAGCGAACCGTACTTGAAAGTTTTGCAGGCCCCACGTGTACCAGACCGCGACCTCCTTATCTATGTGACTGTCGCTGATTCAGGACTGTCCATGGTTTCGGGCAAGAAGCGCAAGCTTCGCAAGTACGACTTTGCGGAGCGTTTGGATGCCTCTCGCCCGGCGCGTGTCGGTGCATGGAGGTCTGAAATGCTTTGGGGCAAGGGCTTACAACAGCTGTGCAAGCGGTTGGCCGCCCTCATCGACGAGGTGCGTACCGACTACCCAGCAGCCACCATCATTCCGATGATTTACTGGAATGGCAACGAGCTCGTTGGGAAGGACGGCCTCGAGCCCACTGGTACATATCCTTACGACACCCCCATCGGAGACGCCGAGCAACTTCTCGCTGACACCAGACGGCACCTGGCTTGGACCAGGGATTTCGCGGCCCGCAAGGGCTGCGCATGCCTTGGAGTCATGACCGGCGCGAAGAGCTACCTCTACGGCTTCTCTATGATTTGGGACCGTTTCATGACGGAAGTCCGGGATTACATCATCGGCGACCCCAACAATATGTTTGTATATGTTGATGCTACACCCTTCGTCGAGACCATCGATTTGCTGGACAGGTATCATATGTGCTTCAGTGACGACAATATCACGAAGACCGTCCAGTTTATGCGCGGAACCCATCATATGTTGTACATGCTTTCCATCTTGCGCCCCGCAATGGGCAGCGTAGCCGAGCTGACACGTTCGCATGATTGCACAATGCGTCCGATCGATGTGCTCGAGGTGCGCCACCAAGAGGATTGCACAGTCAACGTTGAGGTTCTCGCGTACTGCAAGGAAACGCTAACGAAGTGCGGCGTTTCATTGTCAGAGATGATCGGGCTCCCTTTCACCCGTGAAGAAGTGGAGTTCCGGCAGCCCCTCGATTTTGCCCCTGTCGATCCAGCCGAATTTGCAACTTCAGGTGAGCCTTCCGGTGCTGATGTTTCCGAAAGTGTTCGCCCGGCGCAAGCCGGTGCAAAGGCGGCTGCGGTGGCACAGAGGGACGAGGCGACGAGCAGGCCGGTACCACTCGACTCCTACGGGAGGAACGTGACTGGGGGCCACTACGATTGCTGGGTTTATAGCATCCATGACGGCGTGAAGTATGTTGACTATGGTGAGGGCCCCAAGCGACTTGAGATCATCAAGCAGCCTTCCTTTGATTACGACCCTTCCGTCAGGAGAATCAGCAATGAGTACCACAGCTCCCTGACGTGCATCTCGAAGATCCTCCGTGGTCGAGGGACAGAAGGATGTGGGTACGTGATGGATGAGGACGGCTACATGGACCTTGAAGATTTGGGACTCGCGCTTCGCAAGGAGCTGCGACATCCCATTCCATGGAATATTCAAAACATCATGGACATCTTCAAGCTCGACAAAAAGCAGAGGTTCATTGCGCTTGGTTGCCCGGACGCAAGCCGGTGCGGAGACGTCCCCTGTTCTCATTGGATTTTCAAGATCAAGGCCTCCCAAGGCCATGAGGACTGGCTCCAAATTGACGACTCCGGCATCGCGAAGGAGTGGTACGTGAACCCGGGGACGGACCTCGGGCGCTGGTCTGGCTGGAACGTCTGCAGCAACCCTCCTACGGTGCTCTATCATCGCACCGATAAGCGGAACTTCGCCAACATTATGCGAAACGGACTGCTTCCAGGAGGAGGTGACCAGCACGAGACAGGCAGACCTCACGTTTTCTTCGCTGACATTCCGAGCACGAACGAAAATTACATCTCAGGTGTACGCGCTAACAAGCCCTTGGAAATACAGATCGACCTCAGGATGGCCATTCGCGCAGGGCTTTGCTTTTTCAAGACAGAGAGCGATGGCGTCCTCACGCGCGACAAGGTGCCCAACTACACGATTATTTCTGTATTGGACGCTACAAATGGCGATGTATGGTACACTCGCTCCGAGCAATCGGATGCAGGTGCACCAGCTGAGGCGAACGAGGATGAATCGCAGGGGATGAAGCGCGACCAAGCAGTGGTTGATGATCGATCTACAGCGCTGGAACGTATTGCTACGACCCGCACCAATGTGGCGTCTCCTCGCGCCCCGCAAGGGGAAGCGAAGAGACAGAAGACTTTCAATCCAATGGAGAACGTTGAGCTGAATGTCGCCGCATGCCCGGTCTGCAACAACAGTGTGTTTGAGGGGCAGGTCCATTGCTCGTCATGTGGGCAGTTGTCTCCCCTCAATCCTCGGCTGCTGAAAGAACAGCAGAGGAATTACATTGTGCAGCGTTCCAACTTGCTGAAGAAGATGGGCCTCAGCACCCATGTCACAGCCCAGGTTTTGGCATCCGTGGGAACTTTTGACCTCCGCGAGGAGGATCGTAGCAGCATCATTCGTGGCTTGAACTCCCCGGACAGTGCTGTTATTCAGGAAGCCCGGAAGAAGCACAAGTCCGCTCTGAAGAACGGCTACCACTCTCTGCTTGATCGCTATGAACTCGACCTCCAACACAGGGTTCGTATGCTTGAGGTGGGCCGTCGGGAGGCGGACATGCTCCGCATGGAGTTGTGTGCAAATCTCGTCTTAGCAGCTCCAAAGCAGTCGCAAGCCCAGCGCACTCTGGGAGTTGGCCTTGGATCAACTTCGGAGTCGCGAATCGCAAGGCTCGCGTATGTCAAGACGGAGTTGGAGTTCCTGCCCAGCGAACTTCAAGATGCGCTTTCCTCTCGCTGGATCATTATGTTCCAAGGGATGCCTTACAGCCCAAGGGCTTTTATCAACGTGGTCTTCGAGCAAGACAAGCCTCGCAGCATTGGTTGTTGGAATGGCATCATCCATGTTCGAAGCAACACGTTGGAGGACCTCCGCCACGAGATGGACTGGGTTTTCAGCCAGAATGAGCGTTATGCTCGTAACTCGGTTGAGTTTTCAAAGAACGAGAGCACCAAGCACCTCGCTCGCAATGCCGCTCGCTATGCCGATCAAAGTGCTCCCGCCGCCCGCGAGGGTGAGCATTGGAGCCAAGGCAGCTGGCAGAACTGGTCCGGTTGGGGAGGATGGAATGACAGCAGCGGATACCAATCTACTTGGCAGTGGCGCTAAAAGCGCAACTGTCATGGTTTGCATGTATACAACGGTTCCCCATGACCTTCTCCCTCTGTTGTGTTTCTGCTTGGCTGCTTTGTGAAAGGCCCCTTTAACACGCAGAGGGGGGTGAAGAATTTGATCGGTCAGCTTGGGGTTTTACATCCGTTGCATCCGCAGTGTGGCTGTTCAAGCGTGAAAATGTGCGAGCAGCGCACTTGGACGGTTTGTTGTTTCCTCTTGGGCCCCAAACCGGTAACCCTTGAATCTATAGGCTGCCCTTTGGGCGACAGTAGACGGAAGAATTCTCTCTTGGTTTGCTCATTCCCTTCACATCTCATCAGGGAATTGTGCCATCTACTTTCACCAGAACCCAGGATCCAACTGCGTTCCAACACTCAGGTTCCAGCTTGCATCACATGACAAGCAAGTACAACATTAGAACCATTTTTGGAACCCTTGTAGGTCTTCTCACAAGTGCAGAAAGTAAGCACCCCAAAGTGTTACGGATGGGAGCAAGTAAACCTGTCTACACGGATCCCTCGTGAAACACCATTTGAGCAATATTTTGTTTGGTACTTCACACAGAAAGAGGGCCTCGCGGCTTTAAATCATCCCTTGACCGGCGAGGACGCAGGACATGGGAGATCACTGAATCTTGCTTACCTAATTATCGTCAGCTACAACAAGCAGGGGGATCGAACCACTAAGCAAGTGTGCTTCTTGTTGGGGAAAGCCATGCAGCCCCTGAAGGCACGCCACGAGACCCTCCAATGCTGGATAGTACCATATTTTTGTTGGATTTCATCTCGCTCTCTCTCTCTCTTTGCCATCGGAACCGACACGGGCCCCAAGAGCAACCTTCACCCCCGGCCTTGGACCGGAAACAAATATGGATTGCCCAACCAGGATGCCACTCTTGGCATGCCAAACTGCCATAAACGTCCGGAAGGACAACCCCTGTCCCTCGCATTCAGGGGACTCGTTGAACGGGTTCCAAGAAACGGCTTCCGATTGCTTGCACCAAAGGACAATCATGACATTCTTAGGACCTGTTTGTGAGAGCCCATTGAACGGGTGACCTAACGCATGTGTACGACGGATGCGCTGCGCAGGGCCACTGTTTGATGCCTGCACCAGGTGTCATCGCACGGTGGCGGGCGAAGTTGCATATGGACACATGCATATACAAGCATAGACATACATACATATACGTGATATGTATGTGTATATATATACACACTTTACGCACATGTATGCGTGTATAGGGGTCACTTTATAGATAGCCGCCGGAGAGAAATAGCATCATCTTGGTTTGGCCAACAAAGGGACGAGAGACGTGTGGTTCTTTCCTTTTTTGTTTTTTCTGCTTGGCATTGCTCAGGAAGGGCTTGCCCCTGCTTCACACCGTGGACAGCGTGCCCATGTGGCCGCTCGGCCAGGGGAATCACCGGCTTTGTCTTCACGGGTCCAAAGCAAATCTCCTTGTGCCACAGACAGCGCGCTGAATTCCTGAGTTGCGTGATGGTCTGCTTTTGTTCAAAATGTGCGTGCGTGCGTGCGTGGGTGTGGGTGTGTGTGTGTGTGCTTATTTTGCTGGTTGGTTTTCCGTGGAAACCAAAAGTTTAAAAGGGACACTCACCATTTTGGGTGGGCCCCTATTTGGCACATTCAATTGGATGCAGGGGAGTGTTCCCTAAAGGGTTTTTTCAACGCGAACAGGCAGAGTGAACACTGATCCAAGTGCGTGGCGTCATTTGAGCCGCTTAGCCTGCCCTTTTCTCGCCTTCAAAACAGTCCCATGTTGTTTTGCTATATATAGCTTCCGTTTGCCTAAGGTGACGTCTTATTTTCCCTTTCGAGAAGGATAGGCCTATGACTGGCATCTGGCTTTTTTTAGCAACGCGGATGTGATCCTCGGAACGAGTCCCTGCGGTTTTCCTTTGAGACACCCCAAAAAGAGTGCACCCATTTGCAGGATTTTCTAGGAGTAAAGCATCACCTTGGGCAATTGTTTGAGTGTATTTCCGTGTTTGAAGGGGACATGTAAGGAACCCTGCTGGACTTTTGGATTGACTCCACCCCTTAAAGACAACAATTGCAAGGGTTCCAAAGTGGCAATTTGACCATGGCACATATGGGCTTGTCTTGAAATACTGGGCTCAACAAATGGGTTCCCTCCAGACGGGTTTGGCATGGCCATACGGCCATGCAGAGCCCCGACCTCTTCCGACCTCTTCTCAGTGGGAATTTGACCGAGGGGTTCCTCGGAACCCAACAGTTGGATGGTTCAGTTCGGATAGGCGTCCTTTTTAGGTTAATTAGTTTGGCTAAAAATAGATGGGTTCCACTGGTTTAGATGGGATTTGTTCCATTTACCAGGGCCATCCATTTTTAACCATAAGCCAGCTATGTCGGGGTCGTTCCAACTCATTCAGCTGCGAAGTTCTCGCCTCCCAGGTCGAACATCGTGGAGGACAAGTTGGGGCGCACGGATCCGATGCATCTCAGCTCCCAGGCAGTGCTCATGTGGCCCTACAAGCTGATCACAGGCCCGCGTCGCCTTCCAACGCTCAAGCGAATATTTGGGGGGCAGGTGGGGGGGGCGGGGGGGGGGGAGGGAAGAAGAAGAATAAGAAGAAGCAGAAGAAGAAGAAGAAGAAGAAGAAGAAGCAGAAGAAGAAGAAGAAGAAGAAGAAGAAGAAGATCCCGTTCGGCCAGGTGCTGCGCGCATTTCCTAGTTTTTGACAGAACCCAGAAGGAGCCCCCAACAAATCCCTAGTTGATCCGACTTCCATTCATCTCACTCTCTGGTAGTCCCCTCTGAGTCTTCCAGCAAATGCCGGCTTCCCCCCTAGTTGACGCTGTTCACTCTCCCGTGAAGCACGCCAATTGCCCAGACCAGTCCAAGTTAGCCCCTCGAAGTCACCCACTGAATCCACTAGTTCTCCCTTGCGTTCACTCCAATGGTTTATGGGGCTTATCCAGGGAGTCATTGTATTCATTGGGGATCGGTGGTACTGCTTCCCCACCACGTTCGTGATACCAAACCTGGTGAGTTCGACTTCACGAGAGTCCAGTGGTGCCCACATCCCGCAGTGACACGAAAGTTTTAAGGGCCCCAAACAATCAGAATGGGGTTGTGGTGTACTGTTATTAAGCCAACTTGTCTCATGAGGGGAGGTTTCTGCGATCTTCTTGCCCCTCTTTTACGCACATCTCTGCACCAAAAGCCAATTTCTTCTGTGCGCTGCTCAGTTGTTCTTTTGTGGGTTGGGGAGAAAAGTAGCTGCAACACTTTGAAGCTACCTATGTTCCAGCTTGATTATGACTAACATGCGTTAAAGCCACTCAAAGTTGACCGCATAGACTAAATTTGGTAAGGTCCCCATAGAAGCCCGGGGATTGCCGGACTCGGTGTGTCAGGCAAGCAGCCTCTGAGCGTGTGGGTGGGGCCTTTGTACCCCAACTGCTCCACCGTGCACTCGCTGGCGCCGCTCGGAATACAAACTGGCCGGCGGGATGCAATCCTTCGTCTATGGCTGTGTGTCAACATAGAGGGACCCCAGAAATAGTGTTTTTCCTGTTGGTATTTTTCCTGTTGGTCTCTCGTCAAATACCAACTAGAAGAGGGTCCACCATTTTGCGAGGACTTGGCTTTAATGCGGAATACAGGTCGGCCAACAGCCCTTCAAATGAAAGTCGCACCCATATCTCCAATCCATAGGGCCATGCATTTTGTTAAGCCACACCTCAAAATTGCCAGACATAGACCCCCCCCATTGAATGCCCACCAAAGGAAGGGTCCTCAACTGGACGGCACAATTGTGATCATGAAACGAAACGCACCCTTGTTGACCTTTTCTTGGATGACACTGACCTGTTGAAAATAGACACGTGTTGGCTTGAAGATTGGAGCGCCAAAAGAGGCTGCGCCAGAGGCGACCTTCTACTTTGTTCTTCTTTTTTTCTTTGGTCGGGCAAACTATGCGCCGCCTGAAATTTGGGACTGATGATTTAGGCAGGGCAAACCCAACCATTGAGGCTGCTGAAATGATATGAATTGGCCTACAACCTTACTGCGTAAGGTGGCTTTTCCCAAATGGCTTCCGACCAACAGCTAGGTTCAGCTCGGGGCTGAAGCAGATTGCTGGCCTGGAGGATTCTCTAGGAACTGAGAGATGGGGGTTTGTGTTGAAGGTACCTTGTTTTGGGGCTGGCAGTAAAAAGCACACCATCTTTCGCAAAAGGCATCCGGCCAGGAATCTACAATCAATCACTGGCAAACCCTGTGAATAAGTGGAGAAGAAGAACTAAAGGGGCACCGCTCTGTGAGGACTGATCTTCATGTACATGAGGTTACAAAGGTGAATCCAGATAATGCATAGTAGACTCCTAAGCCTTTCTGATTACCTTTGTCACTAGTGACTGAAGTAATGTAGAACAACAGAATAACATACGCCTAGAATTTGATGATGTATTCCTTGTTTTTATTTTACTGTCGGGGAGGGACGCCAGCAGGGTCGTGGCACTCGGCAGACCGGCTCGCCTGTTCTCTGCATCCGAGGGGCGGGAATGGGCCGATTCCCCCGCAGCAGGACGTCAAGGCCGGGTGCTCACGTCCTGCGTGGCTGCGCGGTTGCCACGGTTCCCCTGCTCAGTTGTCCCAAGCCAACTTTTGAACCTTTTGGTTTCCCCTTTTTGGCCCATTTTTAGTCAAGGTCCCACAAGGTTAACCTTTTTATTTCCGGGTCTTTTGGGCAACTGAGCCTGTCTTCAACAACCACAGCAGTGGACAGAGGGCTTTCCCAAAAGGAATGTGGCCTTCCAGAACCCTCTTGCGGGCTTCCGTGATTGGAACAAGGTCGACAAGAAGCCATGAGGCGCCCGAGGAAGCAAAACATGGCAGGCCTTTAAACAAAGTGTTGCGATGCTGTGCTATCCCGCGGCGCGCAAAGATGTCTAAGTAACCGCGCTTAAAACTAGAGCCATGCTGAAACTACAGGAACAACCACCAGGAAACCACCATTTGGACTCCCGAGCTTGGACACACGCCTGCCGGTTGTATTTAGGAGCCCTTCAAATCAGACGGATTTGAATGTCCTTTCGGTTTCCTTTTGGCGCCCTTTTGGTACGTCCTTGTGGTCTTTTTGCTGTATTGGTATCCGTTTGGGCTTGGTTCCCTCTTGGTTTCTTTTCCCTCCTTGCGGTTGCTCGTTGGTTTCCCGTCGTTTTGGGGTCATTTTTATTTTGTATTTGTTTCTGGTTTTCCTTTTGCTCCCTCTTGTTTTGCTTTTGCTTTAAATGTTTTCTGCTGGCGTAGGTTTCCTGTCATTGTGGTTTTGTCCAAGACTGCACATTTGGGGACAAAGTAAACATACTGACCGCCCCTCAAATTCGGGGCTGTGTCAGCTGGGAGAGCTTGCAAGCAAGCGATTAGTTCGGATCTCCAAATTACCGGAGGTGGATTTCTTGTGGTGGCCAATTGGGGTGCCCTCCCCCAAAAGAAAAAACAAAGGGATGAAATCAGCTTTTTGAGACCTGCAATACTGTGGAGATCGATTCTGCCAGAAGCCCCCCCCCGGCGAAAAGAATGGGTGTGACTTGAAACTATCGAGCTAGGGTTACGCAGGTGTTAGTCTTTCCATTTACTAAGGTGCCATTTTGGCTACGTTCTTTTTTGAGCCACAGCCAACTGGGTGCGTTTTATTGGTGGATCCTTGGGTGGGCATCGTTTAGTCATGTCCATCAGTCACTTTGGAGGTGGTTCCCTACTAGGATTCCTGGACGAACCTCATAGTCAGAGAAGACACCGATTCAGGCAATAATCAGAAACAATCATCAGTCTTTCAGGGGTCAAAAGCTCTCATGAGATTTCCGTTGATAAAACCATGGTCAAAATCAGACCCAAATTCTCAAGATTGCCCGAAATGGCCATGGGTCAAAACCCAAATCGTACCCCCAGTGAGCATCCCAATCCCCACTAAAATCGGTTCTAAATTGGGTGGTGAATTCACCAATCCCGACCAACATGGGATCCCAAAACGGTTTTAGAAGACACCGATTCAGGCAATAATCAGAAACAATCATCAGTCTTTCAGGGGCCAAAAGCTCTCATGAGATTTCCGTTGATAAAACCATAGTCAAAATCAGACCCACATTCTCAAGATTGCCCGAAATGGCCATGGGTCAAAACCCAAATCGTACCCCCAGTGAGCATCCCAATCCCCACTAAAATCGGTTCTAAACTGGGTGGTGAATTCACCAATCCCGACCAACATGGGATCCCAAAACGGTTTTAGAAGACACCGATTATCCCGATTCAGGCAATAATCAGAAACAATCATCAGTCTTTCAGGGGTCAACAGCTCTCATGAGATTTCCGTTGATAAAACCATAGTGAAAATCAGACCCACATTCTCAAGATTTCCCGAAATGGCCATGGGGCAAAATCCAAATCGTACCCCCAGTGAGCATCCCAATCCCCACTAAAATCGGTTCTAAACTGGGTGGCGAATTCACCAATCCCAACCAACATGGGATCCCAAAACGGTTTTAGAAGACACCGATTATCCCGATTCAGGCAATAATCAGAAACAATCATCAGTCTTTCAGGGGTCAAAAGCTCTCATGAGATTTCCGTTGATAAAACCATAGTGAAAATCAGACCCACATTCTCAAGATTTCCCGAAATGGCCATGGGGCAAAATCCAAATCGTACCCCCAGTGAGCATCCCAATCCCCACTAAAATCGGTTCTAAACTGGGTGGCGAATTCACCAATCCCAACCAACATGGGATCCCAAAACGGTTTTAGAAGACACCGATTATCCCGATTCAGGCAATAATCAGAAACAATCATCAGTCTTTCAGGGGTCAACAGCTCTCATGAGATTTCCGTTGATAAAACCATAGTCAAAATCAGACCCACATTCTCAAGATTGCCCGAAATGGCCATGGGTCAAAACCTAAATCGTACCCCCAGTGAGCATCCCAATCCCCACTAAAATCGGTTCTAAACTGGGTGGTGAATTCACCAATCCCAACCAACATGGGATCCCAAAACGGTTTTAGAAGACACCGATTATCCCGATTCAGGCAATAATCAGAAACAATCATCAGTCTTTCAGGGGTCAACAGCTCTCATGAGATTTCCGTTGATAAAACCATAGTCAAAATCAGACCCACATTCTCAAGATTGCCCGAAATGGCCATGGGTCAAAACCTAAATCGTACCCCCAGTGAGCATCCCAATCCCCACTAAAATCGGTTCTAAACTGGGTGGTGAATTCACCAATCCCAACCAACATGGGATCCCAAAACGGTTTTAGAAGACACCGATTCAGGCAATAATCAGAAACAATCATCAGTCTTTCAGGGGTCAACAGCTCTCATGAGATTTCCGTTGATCAAACCATAGTCCAAATCAGACCCACATTCTCAAGATTGCCCGAAATGGCCATGGGTCAAAACCCAAATCGTACCCCCAGTGAGCATCCCAATCCCCACTAAAATCGGTTCTAAACTGGGTGGTGAATTCACCAATCCCGACCAACATGGGATCCCAAAACGGTTTTAGAAGACACCGATTATCCCGATTCAGGCAATAATCAGAAACAATCATCAGTCTTTCAGGGGTCAACAGCTCTCATGAGATTTCCGTTGATAAAACCATAGTCAAAATCAGACCCACATTCTCAAGATTGCCCGAAATGGCCATGGGTCAAAACCCAAATCGTACCCCCAGTGAGCATCCCAATCCCCACTCAAATCGGTTCTAAACTGGGTGGTGAATTCACCAATCCCAACCAACATGGGATCCCAAAACGGTTTTAGAAGACACCGATTATCCCGATTCAGGCAATAATCAGAAACAATCATCAGTCTTTCAGGGGTCAACAGCTCTCATGAGATTTCCGTTGATAAAACCATAGTCAAAATCAGACCCACATTCTCAAGATTGCCCGAAATGGCCATGGGTCAAATTCCAAATCGTACCCCCAGTGAGCATCCCAATCCCCACTAAAATCGGTTCTAAACTGGGTGGTGAATTCACCAATCCCAACCAACATGGGATCCCAAAACGGTTTTAGAAGACACCGATTATCCCGATTCAGGCAATAATCAGAAACAATCATCAGTCTTTCAGGGGTCAACAGCTCTCATGAGATTTCCGTTGATAAAACCATAGTCAAAATCAGACCCACATTCTCAAGATTGCCCGAAATGGCCATGGGTCAAAACCCAAATCGTACCCCCAGTGAGCATCCCAATCCCCACTAAAATCGGTTCTAAACTGGGTGGTTAATTCACCAATCCCAACCAACATGGGACCCCAAAACGGTTTTGACAACAGCCAAAGGGGTATGCCTCAAAATTACACAGGAGGGGCAAACCGCAGGTTTGGTCCATGTCTCCACTTACCAGGGCAACCCATTTTGGAATTCCGGTTTTTTGACCATCACAGCCAAAGGGCAAAACCCAAAAACATCGCCGCTTGAAGCCCCGCAGATCTTCGGAGAGCCGCTGCCCTTGGCGCCCACGCAGGACCGCGCGACTCGAGACCCGCGCGACGCGGGGACGTGCGAAGAAGCCGGGGCGCGTAATTTTTTGCTTGGCCGCCCTGAGCTTTGCTTGGCGATTTTTTGGGTTTGGCGATTTTTTGGGTTGTGGGTGGGCTTCCTTTTTGTGGGTTTGCCCGTGATGTGCGTTTTCCTTTGGTTTCCCCTTGGTTTTTTCCTGGTGTTTTTTTTGGTTTCCGGTTTGGTTTTGTAGATCATGCTGGAATCCAAGTGAAAGACGTACTTTTTGAACGTGAGGTCACACGCGTTTCTCACTTGCACATCACGATTCCCTCGGTTTCTCTTTCAACAACCCCCAAGCAAGATAATATCAACTCCAACTTTGTGTCAATAGGTACAGCCGGAATGATCCATCTGACGCCCCAGGATGTTAAGACTCCTAGGTAAGTTGATAGGAGGGTGTCCCTTTGTACGGGAACCCTCCATTTGTTTGGGGGGAACCCCCTTCTTTCATCCGCAAGGATTGTTGATCCGGGGTCAACGGAATATGGAGCGCACATGTTTTCTACAATAGTGGACCAGCGAGCATGGTTGCGTTTCTTTTGGTTCTCCTTGACACATCATCAGCAAATGCACGCCCATGTCTAGAGGTGTCCGCTTGTTTTGTGCGGGGTTGAGTAATCCACTGGTTCTGTTTGCGCCCGATTTTTGGGATCCGGTCCCCTTCAGATCCAGCAGGGGGGCATGCTGCTCTCTTCCCCAATCAATGCACCCTGTTCATGCATATTTGGGCAGGAGGCGGTGTTTGAATGTGAGTGGGGTATATAAACCAAAGTCGGCAAAACGACCTCACCCTCAGATTGGAGGCTCGAGGCTGGCACCGGTCGCAAGGAGGAGATTGATCGAACCACCTGGACCATCGACTGCAAGGACGGCTGCCTCATGACGCTAAGCCAAATAACTTGCTCATGATCTCCTGCCTTGCTGATCGTTTTTTTATTTCTTTGGGGGGGAGGGGGGGCATTTGGTTTTTTGGTTTGCCAGCGCCTGCGCAAACCCTGAGTTTTTCCGGCTCTCTGTTTCGGGGTTATTGAGGAGAACCCAGGGAATCAATGCATTTCTAGGGTTCTCCAAGGCAAACTCCTGCCGTACGTTCCATTTTTCTGTGGGCTCGTGGCTTGCGCAAGGAATGTGCGCGACGACCCCACGGAGCATAACGACCTGGCAGCGGACCCCAAGTATGCCAGCGTCCTCGCCAAGATGCAGGCCACGCTGAAGGAGCTGAACAAGGACGCCAGTTCCAAACAGCATCAAATGCGCCGTTGGGTAACACCCCAGTTCAGCACCAATTCTTGCCTCGCTGTTTGGCGGCTTCCCTCAATATAGCCCATCCTAAAAGGGATTCCCTTCGGGTCAGCGCAATTGCTAAGGTCTGCCAGGGTTACTGCACTTTCTGGGATCCAACATACCTTTGGGTTCTCGGCTGTTGGGCAAGCCCGAATCTGAACCCATGAATTAACCTGGCGGAAGTTTTGGGGTGTTCCGAACTGCGGACACCGGTTTCCTCCGAAAAGTGAAAGGTCCTTTCTACCTCGGATTAATACGGGGGACGATACTCTGAGGAGTTCCCCTCTGATTGAATTTCCTCAAAAGAGATGCCACCAGTGTGGTGATGGGGACTCCAAGTCGACGGTCACGCCCTAACCAGCGGCTTTGAAGAATCTGAGGGAACGGCCCGGAAATGCAACCGGGCTTTCCAAACATGGCCCATTTGTTTTGAATGACGCCCTTGCCAAGCTTCCGAGACCACTTGATCGGCTTCTTCGGGGAAATGGGCGGTGTGTCTGGGCACCTTTTTGGGTTTTCAGAACCAATTTTCGCAGCCAAGACTCAACTCATCTTGTTGCCCTTTTGCTCTTTTGGGTTTTCTTCAAACCCGAGGCAACCTTTTGCAAGGAGTGGGATCCGTCTCGCCCGAAACGCCATCTATTAAATAGGGGGATCCCAGAACCCCCCCCAAACCCCCCAAACCCCCCCAAACCCCGCCCCCCACGAGGACCTCTTCGAGCCGGACCGGGGTCTGGATCGCGTGGAGGCGTGCCAGGTGGCAGTGGAGCAGAGCCACACCTTCGGGCCCTTCGTGGACTCCAAGGAAACCTTCGGAAAGCGGCCTTTAAAAAAATAAAATAAAAATAAAAATAACAATAAAATAAAATAGTAAGGTTTATTTTTTCTCGTTTTTTTTCTCCTTTTTTTTTTGGGGGGGGGGGGGGTCTTGGCAGAGACTCTTTGTGTTCATTGAGCCCACATGGTCGCTGGTGTTTTTGCCGCTTTCCCGTGTTCTTGGGTTCATTTGGGCGCCAACTTTCTCGTTTTGGCGGCAACGGTGACTTTGGTTTCTTTAATTTGGGCCATCTTGACATTGGCGTCCCCGATTTTAACAGCCACATCAACATGTGTTGCTTCATTTGGCTAGATAAACCTTGGCCCGTGTCTGGAAAGGTCACCAGGGACCGTTTCATGTCGGTTAGTCCCCCAAACCCCGCCACGAGGTCTATGACTTTGCCATCCCATGATCCTGCCAGGTTTCCTGACCCTTGCAGCCCTTGTTCTCACTAGGAAGTATGGGTCTGCATCCCAAACACTATTGGGTGGTTGAGGGATTTGTAAATTTTACTTCCATATTCCCCACCAAAGCACAAGCAACTTGAAGGAATCAACAAGAGCTTCCTGAAAGTAGACGAGGAGGGTTCCCTTCATTCCCCACGCGGCATGTGAACCTGGCAGTCATGTGGGTCCTTCAACAAACTACACCATCCACCCCCTCCCCCCAAAAAACAAACACACACACACACAAAGGGCGCAAGCTGCGAATCACCACCAACCGGCATATATAGACATGCGTTTTTTCCTGGCTGCGCGCATCCGCCCCGCGGCAAGAAAAAGCATCGATGCACCTCTCCGCGGTTTTGGGAGGACTTCTATAGCCCGGCGCCGGAGAAGAGCCTCCTGCAGAAGGCGGGGGAGCTGGGGTTGCAGACTTCGGCATGTAGGCCTTCCATTCGTATCGCGGAACAGGTGTTTCAATTCCGGGGTTGTGTTTTGGAGGGTTGTAAAAAGGAAAGCATCTTGGCAAGTTGGCAAGCTACGTTTGCAGGATTCCTTTGCGAATCTGGGGAGCAAGATGGGCGTGTTTTTTGGGGTTTCCCGGTTGGGAAGCATTGATTGGGCTTGTCACGTGGAGAAACTTTGGTTTCTGCCCAACTACGGGCAGAAAGGAAGCTCTAGAAAATGAGACCGCTCCCCACGCCGTTGGGCTTGGTGAGCAAATGAGCTGAGTTGCTGTCCGCAAGGAGCAAACACGCAAAAGCAGGTTTTCTTAGTAGACCCCTCCAGAAATGAACCACATTCAGCTTGCCGGGTAATTTCCTTTGGGTGAACGGTTCTCTCCAAGCTTGGGGGGTGTCGTCGGGGGATTCCGGAAGGGATCTAGGGGTTGTTTGGGATCCCATCGCTTATTTTGATGGCCTGGCCGAACACCATGCATTTGCCTAGCTCGGACAAGCTCGCAATTTTTGAGGCTTACTCGAGGGGCCCTGGTTTCAGGATTTGGAACTATTGAACAGTTGCAGGCGGATGATTCATAAGGGTCATCCCGACAATTCCCTGAGAATGAGCAAGTTCCAGGAGCTCTTTAGAACCGGTTGGCACATGTTTTTTTGGGTCGAATGGTTTCAAAGGGAACTCCTAACATGACATCGTCCCCTTACAAGGCTCATTCACATACTCCACCGGGGGACAGGGCACTTAAGTAGCAAGCCATAGGTGTCCTTTTTGGTTGTTTTGTTAGAAAATAGATGGCCCTGGTTTACCTGGTGGTTTAATCATCTACCAGGGAAACCCATCTATTTCCCCTCAAAGGACACCTACGTAAGCCGCGACCTCGGCGAGACTCGTTTTCAGAATTTCAGGTGGAGGACCAGCTTCTGCTGGCCACGCTGGAAGTGGTGAACAACGACCTCGTGCGGACTCCGCTCATCAAGGCGGGAGAGCTGCCGCAAGAGCCGTATGGAGGGCGAGTATGACTAGGTCCCCCAGCTGCCCTTCCAGCAACTTTTTTTTGGTTGGGAGGGTTCCCCTACTCAAATTAGGAGGGCCTAGATGCGGTCCTGGGGCTTCCCTAAAAGAAAACAAGAGGGTACGAAAAAAAACCGCATGGGCCGGATGTCCCTTGGAAGTGCCATGTGTTTGTTTGCCTCAGTTCATCCAGTTCTGAGCAGGGCCTAAGGGAAGACACCCACCCCCCGGAATCTGATGGAGGACGGTTTCAGTTGTGCAGTGGAACCCATTTTGTAGTGTTGAGGGAGAAGATCGGCTTGATTGTATTCCGTTACCACCCTACTCTTGCGCGTTAGCTTCGAACACTTTTTTTTCCAAATACCCCCCATTAATTTGGACATGCCCAAAGCCTTTTGGGTGGCGCCCGAATGTAAATGGGGGAACACTGTGCACATCCGGTTGAAAGGGTTGCCGGGGTCTTCCTGAATGTGTTTCCCTCTTGCCGGAACTCAGCACGATGTGACCGACTGGATTTATTTTCTCCACGTGGGTTGGGAATTGATTGAATGGATGGAACCAACCTTCTATTCAGAGTTCAGGCTTTGATCTGGAAATCACCTACCCCCAGCCCCCGAGTTGGCGTTAGGCAGTCCAAGCGGCCAGCGGCAAGCTGCTGCCACACATCGGAGGGCGCTGGGACAAGACCCTCGGCCGCATTGGGCGCAGAGCGTGTGACGCGGGGCTTGCTCATTGGAACTAATCCTCCTAGGGACGTCGACATGTTTGATATGTTCCTGGCTTGTCACGTGCGGCTGGTTGGAGCTGAACGTAGACCTCCCGTGCTGCACTGGCCTTTCTTCTCTTTTGTCTTGGAGAGGGGTTCCCTTTCAAGTAAACTAGCTTTAAACTTTACTGGTCTAGACATGCGTTTCATTTTGTTTTAGAGCTTTTTGGTTGTCTTGATGTTTAGTGGGCGGCAGCATGCCAAGGATTGGAGAGCTAACCAATGGGTCATAAGCGCATAACCATGCTAGAACCAGACCTTAATGGGTTTTGGGTGCTGCTTAATTGGTTTTCGCGCCAAGTCGGATTTTCCTTTACAGCCCGGCAAAAGGAGGTGGCTTTGTCTCAGAATTCGGGAAGCCCAGAATCGCAGGCTTGCTTTCGGTCTCTGTTTAAAGCCAACAAGGAGGTCCACCAAAACGACTACCGTTTAGGCATGCCTCGAACGGGCGATTGCAGGTGCATTGCTCCGGAAGCAGCGGACTCCGAAATGATCACCATCTGAGCACGAGGTGACATACGCTCTGTGTGTGTGACCCATTTTTTGCCACAGCTTTTGTATGGGTTAAGTTCGGTTGAGAGATGCGACCGTTTCAAGGACGCTCCGTGTTCTGCGGGCGCTTGCTTGGATCTGCGGGCTGTTGTTTGGTTCTGACAGTCATACATCAAACTCCAACCGCAGGCCATGCTTCGTGCGGAAGCGACGGTCACTGGCAGGGCCACGGACGCAACAGCCGCACCGTGGACCGGAACTCCCTGCACTGCCTCTTTGCGCCAGCTTGGTCCAACATTAGATTGCAAGGTTGCCCCAAAGGCATATTTACAGAGAAAAGCCCTACAAGGGCTCGGACCCTTGTCTGGTCTGGGGTTCCCTTTGTTCATTCAGCATCTACCATCACGTTGATTTCAACTTTAAAGCGATCCGTTGGAACCCGCATAGAACTGCAACCACCAAATCAGTTGGTTCAAAAGGGAGCCAACATGAAATCATCCATCTCGAGATGTCTCGGGATTTCTGCCAAAGAGGAGCTCTCTTCTTGCTCTTGGGCTTGGTCTTCAAAGACTTTTTGGACACATGGTGAAGACTTGTGTCATGTGTTTTCATTGTATAAGTTCGTCATGCTTGCGTGAATTTTGCACAACGGTCCCCGAGACCAACAGTTCTGGGATCTCCAAAATACTAGTCACATCATGGGTTCACCAAAAATGGGCAAGAATCAGGCATCTGACTTTGTCGGGGGCAAACTTGGGGTCTCCAAAATGATAGTTACAGAAATAACATAGACTTGGTATTGCGGGCCCACATTTGGCGCCCTTGAAAAAGAGAAGCTGAGCCAGAATCCAATCTTGTAGAGGCAGAGCCCGACCGCTTTCGCCCGTGCCCAGCACGGGGCTGGCCGCTGCTGCCAGCTCAACCTGCGTGGCTCTGGTCCAAGCGCGAGACGGTTCTATCGGGCGCTTGCCGATATGGCCGTCAGCGCCAATGGGGGTAGGCGCACCACCCATTTTAGAACCTATTTTAGTGTTGGGATTGGGATGTTCGCTGGGGGTACGGGGTTTTGACCCATAGCCATATAGCTCTCTCGCTTGGATTCCGAGCCGCAGAGATTGTGGCGAGATGGTAGCTGGGCGCGACACGTTTTGTTCGGCACCGGTTTCCGGTTGACTGCAACGCAACTACCTGTGGATGGACACAATCCTGCACCAGTTGGGATGGATGAAACTCCACGAATACTGGGACAAGCTACCAAGTGGTGCAGGATTTTGTCCATCCACAGTAGGTTGATTCCCTCTTGCAATGGCTGAACTTGCGGTCCTTCTGTTTGTCAGAGCAAGTGTGCTGTAGCAGCGCTTGGTGAGTTTATGAAGCGACAATTGGGTAAGATGGTTGTCATACACGCCCTCATTGCAGATTTACAATTTGAGAGCTGTTAATACATGGACTTAATCAAGCAACATGCCACCTGACCCTCCCAGTTCAGTGTTGTAATTGGTCTTAGTTCAGCGATTCACTAGCCAAAAGCGGGAGTTGTTGATGGCCCCTGTGTAGAATTCCGCCCCTCAGCCGCATGAGTCACGTGCGAGCCTCTGCAGTGTTGACTCAAAACTCGTGAGCCAGTTTCCCAAGTGATTCGCGGTTGGGCTTTTTACCTCACCCAAATACTGAGCAAACATCGCAAACCAAGAGATTAGTTCGGGAAAGCTATTTGAACGCATGCCAAGCATTTTGCCAGAGACAGTTTCATGGATCTGTCCAGCCAGAAGGTGCTGAAACGTCGCGGATTGACAGGGCGCACAGAGGCGCCACGCGCCGCGAATAGTTTCAACTGGAGCTTTTGGAGCCAAAAGGCTCATCGACAGCAACGGCAAGCACCGTTTTCTCTGCTTTGCCGTCTGACTGTCCGACCTTTTGGCCAACAGAAAACAACTCGCACGGAGCTGTGCCGGTATGGGGAAGGGGGGAGGAAGGAAGAAGGGTTTTTCCCAGCATAGGGCCTTGTTCCAAATGGTGCGTTTAGAGTTCAGATCACAATGTTGTTGGCTGTCTACTGTTGGTTTGGGGAGGAATGGGGAGACAACCCAAGTTTGCCACAAAACCAGAAGGACAATCCAATCCATTTCTCCCCTGTCCTCTTGGGGAAGCAGGGAATTTTCTCTGGGGCTCATGTGGTACTCTTTAGGAAGGTGCTGATTGTCCACCCATCGTCGTGGTGGTGGTGGCGGTGGTGAATAAATAACATAAAGATTTCCAACCAATGCCCCTGCCTGCTAAGGTGCATCGGCCCTTTTCTATATCCCCTGCCTTCAAAAGGGGGCCAAATGCAACGGCACCGCAAGAGGGTTGTCATATTTTGGCGTTAAACCTCCAGCTGAAGGTTTAAGACGACCGGATGCATCAAACCCAGCGCATGCGCTCAAATTCAGCATTCCTTGTTTTGGTTTGAACCGTTCGATTTTTCGCTTATCAAGAACGTGTCAGCTTCAAATCGGGACCCTTTCAAAGTCCGCATCGACGCCCTTGATTCGGCAGCGCGGCATATCGCCCTCATTCGGCGCTAGGACTCGCTATGCGGGTGGGCGTTTTTTTTTGGTTGGACACAGCCAAAGTGGCCGGGGTTCCTGGTTTGTTCATTTTCACACTAATTACCTTGCCAGCAAGATGCATAGCCCTCCCTTTTGCAGTGTAGAAATCATCCATGTGTGCCAAACTGTTGCCGAGCCTGCCAGAACTACCAACTCAAACAGGAATCACCCGGATGGTCAAATCCAACATGGCCCCAGCTCCATTTTTGGAACTGCCAAAAATATTACGCGCCTCAGCACTTTCGGAGTTGTTTCCCATAACCACGCGCTTCGCTTGGCAGGTTAGGGAGCAGCAGAAGAAGTGGGAGGAGCTGCGGTTACAGCAGTCCCGAAGCCCAGTCGCCGGAGAGACGTGACCCTTGAGGTTGGTGTTCCTTTTGGTTTTCCTTTGCCACGCAAAACAACGGGTCTCCAAAAACGGGAGTTCCCACTGTTATGTTTTCCCGTTCAAAAACAATCGGGCCGATTCCTTAGGGGCGAACAGCTCCCCAAGGTCTAGCAGGGTGCGGAGGGCAACACGCCATAGATTCAGCCATCCCCCTGCCAATTGTTTGCCAAACACCACCGCAGCTTTTTCCCTCAACGAGAAGCGCACAAGATGATGTCAAGAGAAGCCCCAGAAAAGCTGGCTTCTCAGTAGAGGTAGCGATAACCCCTTATGGAGCAATCCGGTGTGGTTCCCATTACGGAAATCTGTAGATTCATTCCCAAAGCCCTTGTGATTCCCTACTTATCAGCAAGAAAGGGGCACACTCACACGTTCTCAGAAAGGCCTAGAACCTTTTGCGAATGGCCTTGGTGTGTCCCTTCGCCTCGGAGCGTCTCTCGCAGTAGAAACCGTGACTCGGGGACCGAACGTGTGTTGGCGAGCTCAGCTCGTTTGGAAGGTAAGCACAGGTGATCTCGCACAGGGCTCCATTAGTCAAGCTCGACGTAGACATTTTCATCCAGGGGCTACCCATGGGCTGAAGTCCACCAAGTCACAAAGTGGAACCGTTCTATCGGGGGAGGCCGACCTTTTGGCCATTGCCAGATCTAGCCGACCTTCTTAATTTTCAGCCTTTTCTTGGGCTGCAGTTTTCCCTTTCGGCCAGCAAACTTAACTTTTTGAAGGTCAAATCCGTCAGGAACTTCGGACGGCTCTGGTATTCAGAGATCTGTTAGAACCCCCCCCCCAGCGCCAGTCTCAAGCCAAGGAGTATCCCTTGGTATCTTCTTTGGGTTTTGCAGACCTTTGGGCGCCAACATGCAGACATGGATGGCTTCAAAGATGGTCAGACCTCATTCGGTTTGGAATCCCACAGATTCCAGAGAGGCTTATACATATACAATAATTTGACACGTGGGTTGGTCAAAATTAGGGGACAGGCTTCCTTTTGGCTTGCCTTTGAAACCAGCCGAACCAGGCATTCCCCCAAAAAGCCACAGTCACGAGGTTGTTACCAATGAGGACCCAACAAACTGGCAATTTGTTGTTGGTTTGCCACTTGAGCTTCAAAGACTCAGCAACATGGAAACAAGGTAGCTGCCACTTTCGGGGTTGGAAGTGGAACCTCACGTTTGCATGCCAGATATTCTTGAAGTAGACCTCTGGCGGCTAGCATGCCACTCTCCACCCTTCCTGTCTCGACGTCGCTTCCGCTTCCTGAAGCTTCCGCCGACTCAAAAACACGCTGGGCCCGAAGCAAACGTTCAACTTGAACCTGGGATGTCTCACGCGCAGGCACCGTGGCTCAGATCTGACCTCCAAACATCGCCAAGCCGCCGCCATGAATTGCCTCCTCTCGCTGCTCGTGACGGCTTCGGCCGTGTTGGGAGCGGAGCACGACGGCCACGACGGTCCCTGCCACGCGGGCTGCTTCGTGCACAAGAACGGGACCATGCTGGCGGTGCCTCTGGCAGAAGAATCGAAGGTGAGGGCAAGGAAGGCGCGGAAGGAACTTTGCGCTCCCAGAAAGAGTGGCTCACTAGGCTACACGCCCTCCCCACCCCCAAGTTGTGAGTGAAACCAACACAATCTGCGGCACCGAAACACAGACACCACTCCCTTTGTTTGTCGGGCCCATGGCGCTCTTTGTTTGGCACCGCCTTCTATTTATAATGGAGTTGCTCCTGGTGCTCTTGGGAGGGAGGGAGGCAGGGAGGGAGGCAGGGAGAGGCAGGGAGGGAGGGAGGGAAGGAGCGAGGGAGGGAGGGAGGGAAGGAGCGACCGGGCGTAGCTGAAGCTCAAGTGAGAGTTTCTTGTTGCTGGATGATACCAAGGTAGTCCCCCTTAAAACGATAAAAGTAGTTGCTGGGGATGGCCCTCGGTATCGCAGACAGGGTCAGTTTCCCTGAATATTCAAGAAAGAGCTGAGCCTCGAAGTGGTCCGCAAGGATTCCTTGTTGGCGTGCGACTGGGCAACTGACGTGACTTTTTTACATGATAAACTTGGTTCCTTGAGGTGGTTCCATTGTGAGGGCTCCGGACATGACTTTTGGGAGTTGCTTCTTGGGGTTTGCACAGATGGCCATGACAGAGCCAGGAAGCGGCGAGGTCCCGAAGGAGGGTTTCTCACGGGGTGGAAGCCTGCGGACATTTGACAAGAGTGCACTTGGGGAAGACAGCGTGTTTCTTTCACAAGACTTGGGCTACATACAGCAAACCAACTAAACATGCACGCATACCGATACACTTCGTATACCATAGCAAGTGAACCAAATCGGCATATATACACATACCAACATACCACGTATAGTTACTAGGTCCCCCAGTAGTGCCCTTTAGCCTTTTTTTGGGGAGGGTTCCCCTACTAAAATAGACAAAACTGAAAAACAAAAAAAACAAAAAAACAGTTGGTAGCCTTATTCTAACCTCTGGAGGACCCAGGTTGGACAATACCCACTGCTCCAGTTCCGTGGCTCTCAGGTGAAGCTCACCTACGACGGGAACAAGTTCGACATCCCAGGCGCAAGAGACACGAGCCGCTCCCCCGAGTCACGGGTTTTTTGGGTCGACAGCTTTCGGTCGGCAAGCGAGGAGCTCGGACATTTTTCCGGTCCATCCGTTCAAGAAGTGGGTGTGGCTCAAAATTTAGGGGCTGGGGTTACGCAGGTGTTTCCGTCCAAGGGGCCCAAAAATTTGAGCCACAGCCAAGTGAGAACCCCGGCTGCGTGAAGCTGAGTAAGGCTGATCGCAACCTATTTTTGGTAAAGCCCTCAAGTAGGTTGCAGGGATGGTCCTCCCGGTTTCGCTGCCTTTGGATATTGAGAGCCCTGCCCCAAAAACGGGTCGACCAAGGAAGCGCCATTTCTGGTCCGCCCCAAACCCCATGCCCTGGGCCCGCTTCAACGCCTCGCGCGCGAGGCGGGCAGACGAATTGGCAGGAGCCCGCCACGCGCACCGCGCAGCGGGAGACCTGGGAGGAGTCGGGCTACGAGGCGTTTGGGACGCGGCTGGATCGTTGACTTGATTCTGATGGATGGATCGATATGGCTATGGCTCACAAAACCGGTACCACAATGGAACCCTGGTAAGTGGAAACATGGACCGAAACCTGCGTAACCCCTGCTGTTTGATTTTGAGCCACACCCATATGGGTATGGGTCAAAATGAAACCACCAGGGGGACTATCGTGTCAACGGCTATGGATGTTCACAGGAAACGCCCAACCAGCGGGACAGACACCCCAACGCAAATGACGTCCATAAGATCCCCAAGACAAAGTCATACCCAAGTCCTGATTGATTGGCAGGAACCCGTCCACGTCTCTAGAGCTCGGCTTGCCCGGAACCACTTCCGCCCCAAACCTCCCTACCCTTCAGGACCCATTTGCAAATCAACCAGGTAAGAAAAGGGGTGATCCAGGACATGACCTGGTTGTTTCGTCTGCCGGGGAAACCCACCGATTTTCCCAAGAGCACACTAAGGAACGGTGCACATTTGGTTCCTACCCGAAGGGGCCTGGGCCCATGGACCCCTGGACCTTCATGGATCGACTTGGCAGGTGACGATCGGGCCGCTCCTGGCCACGGTGCGGGGCGGGAGCTTCAGGACCACAGGGAGCCGACCTTTTCTGGAACCCCTACCCCCTCTGTTTGGCTGGATTCTAGGGGTAACTTCCATTTCCATTCTTTGCAGGGATCCTTCTTGCTAGAAGACCACCAAAACCCCTGGAAAAATGGCTGGTGTTTGAAAAGAACGATGGAATTCATACAGGTGCGCCTCAAAAATGGGGAAAGGCCCAACACGGAACCCTGGATACTGGAACCAAGGACCAAAATCTGTGGTCCCTGGCTGGATGCCAGTAAACCTGACACATTTTTGTTGGGCTTGCTTGGGGTCATTTCTGGGACCTCTCTGGAAAATGATCTTGCGCCAGAATCGAAGACATGATCTTTGGTTGGGGGCAAGAACTGAGGTAGTTTTGGCAACGAGGGATGCTTTGCAGAAAGTTATTCACACCGGACATGGGAGTTTTTTGAGAACAACGATGGTTGAAAAGGACACGGGGGTGCTCACCCAGCACGTCGGGAAGCTTGGGGCAGGAGCAAATTCGAACAAATCAGAAGGTTTGGTCGATTTATTAGGAGCCACTTTCTTTCTGAGCAACCCTCGCGGAGATTGCTGGCTTTGGGGGCTGCCTTTCCTGTGATGTTTTCGGGGAATCCCCTGTACAGTGATAGTGCAGATTTCATGAGGATGGGAACCCCGCTTTGAGCAAGTTCCGCCATCATACTTTTGGTTTATGTTACAAGGAGACAAACCAAATGCGCCAGGCTCCCCCCATCTTGAGCTGTTGCCCCTAGTTTAGTTTCGGAGTTCCTTTCGTCCTTTAGAACTCACCAACAAACCTTTGCACAACTGCTCCACGGATTCTCCCCATGGTCCTGTTTGCTCACAAGCTGTGTTGGAACTTTTACAGGATTCCCAGATTTTGGTGGCACGGCTTTGATGGGTAATGCTACAAAGGTAGATTGACAGCCTCCTGGGTTTACTATCACCCGGGTTCTGGCAGGTTTCGGCAAACGATTTGTTTGCTGAATAGTTGGGGTGGGGTGGTATTTGGGTGTGAATTTCAATTGCGGGCCCTTTGGTGGACATCATTTGCATGGCAATGTGTTTGGTCGGGGTGTTGCATTCACAGGTGCAACTGCGTAGGATCTATGAGTGCTTTCTGAACGAGCCGGCACCCAAGAAGAACCCCGACCACGAGGCCCGCGTTCCAGGTTGGCGACAAAGGACCCCTTGGTCTGCTAGATGTGGTGTTCGGGGCTGACATCTTCCAAATCTTCGACCTTTTGCAAAGCGAAAGTAAAGCACGGCCGAGGGGTGGCCGTTTTGAAACCATCTCTTTGGAAAGACAAGTTGCGGCTTTGTTATTTCTTGAAGCATTGCGTAAAGTCTTTGGTAAAGCACCATGAAGGTCCTTTACTAGGGGTTCCCGTACTCCGGTTTTTGGTTGGTAAACATGCACAGATTGCTTCCCCACACCGAGGTCCTCCGCCAATGCTTGTTTTGCCTTGGCTGACAGATCGGCAGATGGGGTCCCCATTCGTCCTGACCCGTGGCAACAGCCGGACATTGGTTCAAGCGTTGGTCCATCCAAACTTGTTTTCTTGACTTCACAGGCTCTTTGGGGTCAACCAGTTTCTGTCTCGTGGTCCGAACCAACCTGACGGGGATTCCGTTTTTATTCAGCGAACTGATCATTGGTGCTGGAAATTGGACACCAGCCGAGATTGGGGGCTCAAAACTCGAAGCACGGGCCGGAGGGAGAGGTGAGCAGATCGACACATGCAAATGCCGCCGTGGTTTGAGCACCCTCGTTCATCCTTTCGAGGGATTTGGACAGAAGCACGGAGACTCCTCAGCCCAGAGAGGATAGTGAGTGACGTTGCCACCCATGCATACTTTCGGATTTCCGCTCAAAATGTAGATAGTTACCGTGGGCTTCGGTAGACTCGTTTGAGTCACCAAGTTTTGGTGAACTGAATTACTCATTTGAGCGGTTGAAGACAAGGTTGTTTCCCTAGATATTGATATTGCAAGTCTGTCACAGAGAATCCCCATCTAAAAATCACCACCATTCTTGGCGGTTGGTTTGCTTGTTTTATATTCAGCCAATCAATTCACCAGACTTTGCGGTCGGATTGCCCGAGCTTACCCCGTTTGTTTCTGGTTTTACCAGCAATTGCTGGGAAGCAGCCAGGGTTTGTCCAGATGAACATTTTACCGCGTTTGGTCTCTCAACCGAGCCTCACAGACCCCACTTTGCACTGGCATCGCTCCCATCGATGGATTAGTCAACCATGAAAGGCCTTTGCCCAAAGCCGGGTACCAGCCCCCAAAATGGATCCCCTTGAAATTGCTGGTTTCCCCATTGGCTAGCCCCGCAAAAAGAGCAATTGGTTTTCAGCCTCACAAGAAGACCCGAGAACGGCTGTACCGTTTTTTTTTGCCGTTGTGAGGTGTCCAGCGTGCTGTGGATGAACGAGGCGGAGATTGTGAACCACGTGCAGGCAGGGCTTTTCAGGATCTGTTCGGGGCCAAACAAAAGAAACCCAGCCAGGGTTCCCCCCCCCCCCCCGCATGGACGCAAAAAGCAACCAAAGCTCATTTCTTGGGATGTTTTTCGGGGAAAGAGAGATTCCCAGGGTTCCCCGAGCCAAGAAACCCCCAAGCCTCTTCATTTGTTGGGATCCGAGTGCTGTTCCAGGAGCACACCTGGCGCTTCGAAGCGGATCAGGCCGTTGGGTGCGTGGGGTGTGGGAAGGTTGCGCCTCTGTTGGGCCAGGCGAGTTTCCTTTGTGAGGTTGAAGGTGGAGGTGAGCCACAATCAAAACCCGGGTAGATGAAGGTTAGTAAGGGACAATCCATTTTAACACCAGGTTTTGATTGTGACTCAGGTGTAGGAGGGTTTGGGGGGGAGGTTGAAGAGGGGAAACAAAAAACATGAACTTCACGCTATGGGTGCTTGCCCCTCAAATCCGGCGACCTACCCATGCTCGTGGCTTGTGAGTGAGGACCTTCCTGGAACTTGTAGGCATACCACAGCGGCCCTGCAACCCTCAACCCCAACCCCCCCCATCCCCCAACCCCCAAAACTGGAGGTCTATGAAACACTCCAGAGGCTTCTGCCACGCGCCTTCCGCGCCTTTGCCAGGCGCATCTTTACATCGAATGGCTCCGGAACCTGGTGCCGAATGGCCAGAACCACAGCCGCAGGCTGCTGCTGGTGTGAGTCCACGGCCCCTTTTTCCAAGACTCACCGGTCAGCTGACATTCGCCTAGAGTGAGGTGGCCGTGGTTGTCAAAACCAATGGGATCCCATTTTGGGGGGATTGGTGAATTCACCACCCATGTTAGAACCTATTTGGGTGGGGATTGGGATGTTCACTGGGGGTATGGGCTTTTGACCCATGGCCAGGTAACTCAAGATCAAAGGGTGGAATCCGCCTCATTTTTTTTCCAACTCGGGTTTTCCAATTCAGAGCCCCAAACTTGGGCTGGTCTCAGGGCGCCATTTGGGTGAACACGTGCACATACCAAAAATCACCCAGATGGCCTTTTGCGGGCAATGTGCGCGAGAGAAAAAATGGTCTCAAATCGCCGCAAAAACCGCATGCAAGCACCCACGGGCGCAGAGCGCTGCCTGTGGCAATACCTGCTTTGTGCATAGCTGGTGGAGGTTGATTGATAGGAGATCCTTCGTGGCCTCAATGATGTTATGTGGTCAGGGGACGCGTTCAAACGGGTTCCGATTGCTTGCACCGCACAATCCAGGTGAGCATCCGAAGGGAACCTATTTGTTAGGACCTATTCAACGGGTCACCCAAGCAATGATCTTATGCTTGGATTTTTGCCCTACCGCCAGCAGTGCCTTTCTCCTCGCCACCTTTGGCGGCCTAATTCGGGGCAAGACTCGCTGGGAGGCGCGGCCTCCGCGCGAGCGAAGTGCGTCGCCACACCTGGCGGCGCACGTTTTCGGCTGGCCTCATCGCTGTAGCTCGGGCTCTTTTTTTCTTATCAACGGGGGTTGAAACCAAGCGATCACAGGGCAACGGTTCTTGCAGAGCCCCTTTTTTTGTGCCCTTGGATTCTTGATGGTTGCACCAAAACCAAGCTGCATCATGCGAGACTGTGCAAGACTCGTGTGGCTTTGCCAAGTGGAGTGGACTTGAAAGATGATTCTCCCAGTGGATCTCCGTGGCTAGTATTGCTCCTTGCATGAAACCACGTGGGCAAATGTCAGAACTGATACTTGTGGCGAATGGGTTCCAGCTTGTTGTTTCGCTTGGCCATCTTTCTCCCTGGATCGCCATCTTGACCCATTCTCACCTTCGCAGGAGCATATGATGTGCAACCAAGCACTTCTGTGCACATGTCGTGATTTCAAGTCATGACTTGCACAACAAACAGCTGCCCATTGACACGAGCGCGGCTAAGTATTTGGAGTTTGTTCGCAGCTAAGAAATTGTTTGCCATTGACACCACTTTTTGTCAGGCCTTCCCTTAGATTGAATAGGTAGGTAAGATTGGATTTCAGACTGCATGTTCATAGGAATTCTATGGGTTGCTTCCCTAAGTCCTCAGGTTCCCGTACTAACCTGCGAGTGGCCAGCCACGATCTCCTAGCCATCCACGGGCCAGCTTAGCGTTCTGCGGCACAAGGCAGCAGAAACTCGTGCTGACCGAACGAACCTTTGGGGAAGGCTTCAGAAAGAAAAGCAGATCGGGCTGCGCGGATCGGGTTCGAAGTTTGTATGGCATTGCCTTGCTTTGGATTTGGGTTTGGGGGGGGGGGTGGGGGGTTTGGGCGGGTTGGGGGGTTTGGGGGGGTTGGGGGGTTTGGGTTTGGGTGGTTTGGGTGGTTTGGGTGGGGAGGTGACACATCCTACGCTCGCCCAACTGGACTTTTTGGGATTGGGGTTGGGGTATTCCAAGCCGCATGGCCAAGCTCGCAGCGCGAAATTTGTGCTGGTTGCTTCCCAGGACATCCAAAGGGGACTCTTGTTCAATTTCTGACCCATTCGGCACCCAGGGTGGGATGGGCACTCAAACAAACACGGCCATTTTTCGGGATCGAACAGCATCACTGGCTGGGCCAACACCAACTTGTGGACTCAACGAAAGTAAATGAGAAGAAGCTGAAGGGGGTCTCGCAGTCAGAAAACTGCCCTCCAGGGTTTGCACCTTCCCCTCACGGCCCTTAGGCCTTCAAAGGGTTCCGATCGCTTGCACAGGATACTCACCTGAGAGGAACCCATTTGACCCGGTCAACGGGTCACTCAAACACATCCCCATATGAATGACAACCATCGAATCAAGATCACGTCGAAAGTTCGGTACGAGCTTAGTAAACACCGCGATCCCAAAAGGTCACTCCACTGGCGCATATGTTGCCAGAATCCGCTGATTCTTTGCGTCGGTTTCCCTCATTCGGGGACAGCAAGGCTGAATTTGACGGTCATCTACTGTAGTCAACTGGGGTGTCCTCCAAAACTATTTTGCATGAAGGGTAGAAGCAGAATCTGAACATATCATTCTCTGTGTACCCCAGATGCCAGCCTTGTTTATTGGGATGACATGGGGTGCACTTAAAAACATATATTGGCTCACATCCGTTTGCTCTTGTGCTGGCAGTTGGCTCCCTGAAGCAGGACCAGCCAGAGCAGGTTAACAGATGGCCGCCACAGAGCTTCGATTGGTCATGATTTTGCCACTCGCGGAGGGTTTACCGTTTGATCCCCCAAGAAGTGTGTACCGCCTTTTGAAACGAACAGGGAGCCCTCCAAAGAGACACCCTACGGCAGAATGTAAGCGTCCGCCATAAAACCGAGCGCTGGGAAACCCCGAGGCAGAAGAAGCAGGAGGAGTTGGAGGGGGTGGCGCGGGCGCTGGTGCAACAGCTTCAGCGCCTCGTCGAGTTCAAACGACGACGTTTTTGTGTCGACGGTTGAAGGAAGTGGAGGTCATTTTTTTGCTCGTTTGGCCTTTTTGTCGTGGGAAGCAATTGGATTTTGGGGACGTCCTTTTGTCGTTCTCCGGGGGAAGGGGCCGGGGGTGGGACTTTGAAATGTTCAGTTGGACGCTTGGACCTCCGGGTGGGCATGTGCCTTTTTCTGTGGCTCGGTACCTTTTTTGGGGTGGCTTAAAAGAAAACAAAAGGAAGAGGTGATGTTTAAACCAACCCAAGGGGAAAGCCCTGTGTGTAGAAACGCTTGGGGAAGTCTGTCGGTGCCCCCTTGGCTCTTGCGGGAAATTTGGGGTGCCGCGCAGTTCCAAGCCAGTGGACCACCACTCATATTTGCCAGCTCATTTCCCGGGTTTTAGGTGCACTTGAGGGGGTCTGCAACCTGGGGCTTTGCGGCAGATCTGGGGCTGAAGTTTGAGGTTTTGCCTTGGGGGTCCTTGAGACCCCATCCCAAACACAAGGAACGTCCCCTTCTGCCCACGTCGGGAAGAGTTCGCCCTGGACCACTCTTGTTTGAAGTTCCAGTTGGGCCCCTCAAGCTACCTGGCAATGTGTCAATGGGGTGTTGGGCCAGAAAGTGAGTTTCGTGGTGTGACGGTTTTTGCGGGGGAAGATTTGGATGCCTTTGCGTTTCCTGAAGGTAAGCGCAGCTCTGAGTGCAGACTGGGCCGGGTGACATGACACGAGCAGGGCAACAAATGTGGGCCAGGAACCCATATGGGTCCCATATGGCTGCCTGAAGAATGCGCAATGGTGTATGAAGATGAAGGGTGTAGGGGTATGAAGGCATAAGGGTGTAGGGGGTAATGTGAATGGCCAAATTATTGCCAAGACGATTCTCCTATTCCCTGTCTGAGAGTACAATCATTCCACTTGTTTAGGCTTCAGAAGTATGTGGTACCCGCGGAAACTTGGGTCAAACAGGGCGCATGTAGCACGATCGCAGCTGAGGGACTTGGCGACACAAGCCGAGGCGCGTTGTGGCCCGGGTTCCGTTTTGCTTGGGGTTACTAGGAGTGGTCAGGGACAAATCCTGGAGATGGTGGGGGGGTTGTCCCAGTCATAGGGTTTCTTCCATGCCGACGGGTGCAGGAAAGAGTGGTCATGGACCTTGCAGAGGATTTGGACAGTCAGTTTGCAGGGTCCCATTGAGGAAACCCGTGGCCCAAATATAGGTTGACCATGGCACGCGTAAGCAGAGAACGTTCAGGCTACCAAATCCAAGCTTGAAAAAAAACAACATGGGACAATATTACCGTGAATCTAGTTTTCAAACCTTCATATTGGAGAAACCTGACATCGGGGTCAGTTGCGGGGCTGACCCAGCCAAATGCTTGGTCTCATGTGTAGGTTTGTTTGCGAGAAACCGATCAAATTACAAAGGCTCCGCTGATGTGACACATGTGACACAACCACCCATACACACGTGTGGTACCCGGTTGTTGTTTCACTGATCATCAAACGTAGCCCACCTTTATTGTCGCAGAGGAGGCCGTCCTCTAACTTTGGCCCAGCTAGAAGGAGTCTGGAGCCAGCAAAAGGTTGCATGTAGATGAAGGATGTTTGGCTGTTTGGCGTTGGAACAAGTGATGGACTCGCAATCTGTGTCTGTGCATCGAGTTTGATTGCTTTTCGTTTGTTTGGTTCCTTTAACAGGAACCCTCCCAATGACTGTCTGAAATGTCCCAAAAGAAACCCTGCAAACGACCCAAAAAGCGGTGGCGGTTGCCTTGCGACTTCCTTGGGTTTTGCGTTATCTAGGGTTTGTCCTGCAATTTTTAGTCCTGTGATCTCAGCTTCTACCCTTGCCTTTACCTCGCGAATGGCCAGGCAGCCGCGGAGGGAGCGCACTACACCGCAGCTCCGTTGGCCCGAACGCCTGGAACCAACCAACTTCACCCCTGTGCCGAAGTTCCCCCTGCCCCCAAAGAAAAAGGGAACAGGAGAAAGCCCCGCAGGTCCTGGGATCGCCAAGGGTTTTCCCTTTTTTTTGGGCTTATTTGGAGAGGAGACACAGACCCAAGAACGAGCCGGGGCCCCCGTCTTTTGGTCCACCGGGCACCTTTCGGGCGGCTTGGCTTGAAGGCTCTCTCCAGGTCTCGGGCTTGGCTTCGAGCCGGAACGGGGGGGGTTGGGGAAAAGAACACGTGCAGGGTGCCTTGTTCAAGGGAAATTCCTCTTGGGGTGGTTCTAACAGGCAAGCAACAGAAACAAAAAGCACCGCGTTTTCTTGACAGGCTCTGGAACCCCAGCCTGTGGCAAGCATT